CTATTGTCTCTGTCCAACAGATAAAGAATACAAATGAGAGGTAATTTTCTCAACATTACTCATCTAACAAGCAGTACAGTGAGAACTGCAGCTCAGGTACTCTGTTTCTAGAGTCCAGGCTACATTGTGTGGCTTCAGTACCTAACAATGTAAAATGTTATGAAAGAATTATTCTAGGAAATCTGCCAAGTGTAGACAAAGAAAAACATATATTCAATTTACTCATAAGCTTCTCATCTAGAAACACTTTAATATTTCAATCAATGGCCTTAATATAGGTATACGGTTTACTTTTTGTAGTTTGGCACCCCGTGAGAAAGGCTGTGCTTTATCAGCTAATTTGGAGAGTGATTGGGAAGACTGACCTACATGTGGACTATCTCTTGTATAAATTCCATTTTGGAGGTCCCATCAGACACCTTCAGAATCTGAGTAATCATCTACTTTTCGGGTAAATTGAAACTGAGATTGAAGAACCTCTTGCTATGACCGTCATTTGAGAAAGATTTACCATTTCCACCACAGATGGAGAAATCCAACTGTGGCTTCAGATATGAGACCAGAACTGAAATCTGCAAGAGGAAAGTACTGATGTCAACTGAGCTGTTTCAATATTATTGTTGCTTTGGGTGAGCAATAGGTGATTTAGAGTGAGAAGAACTAGAAATCTACTGGACCGATTCATCAACTAATCAATGAATCCAGCTATCCATCTATTTTCTTTAATATTGATAACTACTCCAAGCAATCCAGTACCTTCAGTTAAACTTCTTAGACTCACATTGCAAAGGTTTAAATATAAAGTGTTCCCCATAGGCTTATATTTCAAATGCTTGTTCCCTAGCTAGTGGGGCCTTTAGAAGGTAAGGCATGGCATTGAGAGATAACTCAATAGGGATTAGCCTTTGAAAGTTCTACCTTTGCTCAGGGTGCCTTTGCTTCCTGGTCACCTGTGCTGTGAAGGAGTCTCTGCCATCTGTACCCACCACCATGACTCTACCATTCCTTCCCTACCATGATGAACCAACAGAAACCTTTCCTCCCATAAGTTGTTTCTTCCAGGCATTTTGTCACAGTAACACCGAAGTTTCTAATACAGAGACTCTGAGATCAAGATTTGAGTGCAAATTATTTTTGGAGGCATTACCTCTTAAACCACAAAAGGGCAGTGGCACAGTGGGCTAGGAGAGATGATAAAGAAGGCTGTGCTGGTGATCGGGTTCCATCAGGAGTGGAGCTATCTTGCTGGGCAGGGCTGTACGGGGGCTATACTCAGACATATGGTCGGCCATGGTGAAGGGACAGGACAAATATGTGACCATAGCAGTATCTACTCCAGCCAGAATGAAAACAAGCGAGAAGCATTGCTTATACATTGTCTTGTGCTTTGTGCTGGAAGCACCTCACACATCTTTAAATACTATTTAAGAAAATTATTCTAATGGTTTCCTACCAATTCAGTCTGTGAATGTTCTAATATTTATAAATTATTTCTGTCTTGGGTTTTGTTTTCCTACAGTCCACTAAATGCCTAATCCTGACCCCTTTTATGGCTCATTTATGTGTTATTGCAAACTGATGGTATTCCTTTAGATGGTATTCTTCAAATATATTAAGTACCTTAAAATGAGAAATCCTACTTTACACTTCGGTATATAAAGGAAGTGCTAAAAGTATGAAGTCCAGAACTCTACTCCTTCCACTCACCAAGCAAATTTCACACCGCAGTAATACATTACAGGAGATGAGAAAACAGTGACACATCTCTTGCTCATTTTAAGCACAAGTTAAAAGGAAGGTCAGGCGACAGATGTTTTAATTCTCTAGTAAATTGACATATTGCTGAATAGCAATTCTTTCTGCTATGAGAAAAAATGGGCACATATTGTGATGTAGAGGAGGTACACATTTTGATACATTTACTAGAAACAGCACTGAGAGCTTTGTAAGTTATCTAGAACTTTCTAATTGACATTATCTTACAACCTGAAACCCTGTCTGATAACCAGTTAAGTAGCCCCTTTGATCTGTCATTTAAAAGCATCTATTTTGTTTCAATGACTTTGCATTTGAGTTTGCCTCTTCCTTAAGTTTGTTATAAACCAAACAGGTAAAAGCTGCTGAATGCTCTTATTTTATTTTTAGGATTTCTATGACCAAATCATTGGCAGTGGTTTATGAAGTCTTACATATGCATTCATAATGATGTATAAATTCTTGCTTATTATTGAGAACTTCAACAGGATAAGGGCATGGCATTTTACAGTATCTAAATGTAGGACTGAAATTGCAACCCAAGTAAAACTGAGCTACATTGGAATGATGCACACATCTCATAGATGGATGTTACTGGGACAGGGGCACAAAGTGTTTCTGTGGGAGGAGATCAGCAGTGCATGCTGTGAGGAATCTGTAACCAGAGCGGCAAGAGTTTCTTTGCCTTGAATGAGGCCTTGTAAATTGTTCCTAGGAGACCTGGGGTCAGCAGGAGGTATTTCAGAGGCTATACAGCATAGGTTGGGTTGTATATGACAGGGAGGGAGTAGAAGAGGACTGTGTGGGTGCTTTAACTTCCTTTCCCCCAATTCAGTGTTTTCAGTGACTTTTTAAAGTGTTTTACATATGCGTTCCTGAACAAGGTGATGTTTGAAAGAAAAGTTCTGGGGGAGAAAGCAATGGCTGTCTATCTGTGTTTCAGAACTCCAGTGAAAACCTTTCACATGAAGGAGCCGCTGTATGTGAAATGGCAACAAATATTTTTACCCTCTTTCTCTGAATGCCCTTCTTTGGGCCAACTGCATGAGTTTGCCGTCTACTGTTTGCTTGAAGAGTTTTCCCAGCATGTCTCATGGGGTGACAGGAAATGAATGCTTTGCTCTCCTTTCCACTCCATCTCAGTTACTAATTTCTCATTCATTTTGCTTAGTTACTCTCCTCCAGTTTGAGGGAGAGATTGGGAGTCCAGTGTGCCAATAACGACATGTTTACTGGGCTCTTCTAATCTAAATAACTGACCTTGAGGTTACTTACTCATACTAGTTCTTGGTAAGATCACTACAGAGGCAATCCAGACCCTATGAGTTCAGGAATGATGCCATTAAGCACCCTAGTCCTTCTGCCTGGCCATTGGCAATTCTTAGCTTTTATTTTAGATTCCAGATCGTGCATGTTGATCAGTGAACAGACATTGGCTTGGACTTTCTCTTTCGGAAAGCAAGGGGTTCATGCAGAACTTTCCAAAGTGTCGACACCTTCACACCCATTTCCACCAGCTAAGCACAAATGTTAGCAGCAGATCCCAGGGAGATCGTGTTTAACGTTTCTGTGCTTTGCACTTGGAGGCTACTTGAACAGGGGCATTTGCAAAAGCAGTCAGTCCTGCTCTCTTAACATCTGGTCAGAATACTGGTACATCACTTCGTTAGGACTCATCAACTATGAAGCGAGGTGCTTTTGTTTTAGACTAGGAAATGTTTACTAGATATACAAGAGATACATTTCACAATGTGCAAACCCTCTGAGATAATTGGTGGGAAATAAGTTCTGTGAGGCATGTATTTGGGAAACAGTCTCTTGGTGATTCAAAATGTGCTTTAGAAAGATGAAGTGCTAAGAAGTATTTCTTCAATTTTTTCATTTTACTTTTAAGTTCTTTCTCTCTCCCTCCTCTTTTTTCCTTCCACTTTCTTTTCTTTTGGTGACAATCTTCTAGGGGTCCATGAAAATATTTTTGAAAAATGCTGTGTTTACCTATTTGCAGAAAGGAGGTGATTTATACATTCTCTGTAATTATAGAGGCAGCACGGGGCTGGGTAGAAGGTGATATTAAAATGAAATGAACAAGAAAGCATATTGATAACATATAAAACACTGTTGAAAGTTACTCTAAAAATCCACTGGGTTAATTGATGTCACTTATTTGGGAGTTTTACAAGAATAAACCATTTTAAAGTGGAATTAAGTTAGTCTGTGCTGGGTATATGGATCAGAGCCATAGGATGTGAGATTTGGGACAAGCTCTGCTGGGCATTCAGTCATCAGTTTATAGACATGGCACAGACCTAGGAAAGGCATATCTTTTATATTGAATTCATGAATAGGTTGAGAGGATTCTATTAATTTAAGTATGGCTATAGATATATGAATTATTTTTCAAAGAATTTGAGCCCATATTCAATTCAAATCCATATGGGCTCAAACTCTACCTCTGCCTCTCAGTAGCAGAGAGAATATGGGGGGAACAAACCCAGCCTCCAAGGCATAACTGATGACTGTAATGGACCCCCCTCAAAGGGCGCTGAGATGAGTTAGTGAGGCTGAACAGGTACACATCTAAGAAACATGTCTGGTTCATGGAAATATTATTAAAGATTAATAGCACTGTGGCTGGAGAGATGGCTCAGCAGTTAAGAACACTGACTGCTCTTGCAGAGGACCCGGGTTTGATTTCCAGCACCCACATGGTGGCTACGAACCATCCTGAACTCCAGTTCCAGGGGAATCCGAAGCCCTCTTCTGACCTCTGCAGCATTGCGTGACATGGGTGCACTCACATACAGGCAGGCAACACACTCATACACATAAAGTAAAAATAAGAAATAAAATATTAAAAAAAGATTAATAGCATTAAACAACACTATCAGTCAGAATTCCATAGTAAATATAAAATTATAGGTGGCATGCGAATCTTGACAGACTGAGAAACCTTTAAAAAGTCAGAGAGAGAAATTGGATAGCAAGAACAAAATTGTATAACTGGAGTCTCTGTGTTTATAGTGTGCCATATTGGGAGGACTTGATTTTTGGAGGAAAGTCAATTCTGGCTTGAAGGTATAGCTAGTATGGGGTGGTGGGTAGAAACTATTTCAGCATTATGTGGCTTTGAACAGAATCTTTTCTTTTCAGAAGCCTCTGGAAGCCCACCTTTTCCCCACCAGAAACCACAAAAGGAAGAAAGCCTCCCGCTTGTGGGGCTGAGGAGCACAGATCTCCATCCTTACCTGAATGGGTAGGCAAACCCTATGTCAATGCTGAGGTTACTTTCTGTTTTGTTGACACAGTCCACACTTAGCCTCAGGCCTCCGGAGTAGCCACCGCATGTTGCAAATGCAAAGATTGCAAAAAGCTATGGAGAACAAAGAAAGAAAAGAAGCAGCTATTAGAACGATGAATAATAAAATCATAATTAGGAGCTCGGTGTCTGGGGGAAGGAGCAGTGGCCTTCTGAAGGACAGCATTCCACCTTCCTCAGCTGGAGAATGAACTCTAGAATGACAGAGGGCTGGGAGGGAACGCTAAGGAACAGTCCAGTGGATTAGAGAAATGTCACTTGGACAAGGACAGCATGGCTGTGTTAGACTGTGTAAAGAATTGGCATGCCAAGCTGGAGAGATGGCTCAGTGGTTATGAGCATGGGCTGCTCTTGCAGAAGACCTGGGTTTGAATCCCAGCACCCACTTGACACAAACAACCTTCTATAACTCCAGTTCCTGGGGATCCAACACCCTCTTCTGTCCTCTGCGGGCATTGCACAACACAGGTGCACTTACATACATGCAGACAGTACACTCATACACATAAATTTAAAATAAATAAATTTTAAAATCTTTTTAAAAGAGCTGGTATGCCTCAGAGGGGTTAAGAAGCAATTTCATAGTCAAAGACCTGGAAGGTAATGTGTGTATTGCCCATGGGTAACTCCTTGACCTCTGTTTACGTGGGTGTATTTTTTTTTAATAAACATGATTTTTCTTTTGGATAATGTAGATTATTTTTTAAAGACCTGACAGGAGAAATCTAGAGCTAGAGAGCCAAAGAATGGATCACGAAGAGGTTCCTGTTCTGAGCATTAGATCTCAGTATGCTTCAGCCTCAAGCCCCATACTTGGTTACGTCTCCATGCTGGCTCCTGTCTCTAGGTCAACTATTCAAAGATTCAATGGTCACAAGTTAATGTCATGCTCTTTCCTGGGGGAAAATATAAATCTGTGGGTTGAAGCACCAAAAATAAAAACAGAACTCAGAGAAGTCTTCTAGAAAGAAGAAATGTCAGGAAGGCAAGGGCAGCCTAACATGAGAAATAAGTAAATGCCAGACTTTGTTCCTTCAGAGTTTGTCTAAATTTAAAAGAATTTCCTGCTCATGTCCAAAGAAAGGCAATTAAGTGCACTTAACACTAGCCCACACGGAAATATCCGAATTTATTTTGATTTTGGAATTCAACGTCTTGCAGTAGCTCCCCCTCCCCCCCACCCCCAGTAGGTACACTAGTTCACCCTGTATGGTGAGAATTATGTGTGGGCTAAATATGCGGACCCCGGCACATGATGTTGGGAATATTACCTAATTTCATTGCCTTGGTTTCCTCCATTGGTAATAACTCTTTGAGCCATTTTGCTATTTGTGATAGAAGAAAATGATTGCTGTGGAGAAGGCTGCTGGCATTAGCCTGGTATCTGTCCAAAAGGTTTAGAAGGTCGATGAGTATCATCTGTAACACCGCCAGCCTAACCATTGGTGGAAGACACCCTAAGAATTGCTTCACTCCATTACGTATTTAACATTTATAGGGAACAGTGAATGACAACAATTATAAAACTCCCACAATGTAAACAATGTTTGATGTGTGTGTGTGTGTGTGTGTGTGTGTGTGTGTGTGTGTGTCTCTTTCTAATGCCCATGCTTAAATCTAATGTGTCTATTCTCCCTTATAAACTTGCTAACTTTGATTTACTGCAGCTGGTTTTGAAATGCTTTTCAGTGTAGTCAAGGGTCCCGCTTTACCTGAATGGAGGTCTGTAAGGAAGAAGGGAATTTGTGGCAGTATGGGCTGTGTATCCCCAGCAATCATGACAATACCTCCATGGGAAACTCATGCCTTTAGCCTTACAGAGTTGCTCACATCAGCACTTTTCTCCTGATCCCTTTCAGCAAAGTCACTGTATACTTCTTTTTAAACATTTTCATTTATTATTTTAATTATTTTACGTGTCTGAGTGTATTGCCTGCATGTACGTAAGTGCACCTGTGTCATGCAATGCCCATGAAGGTCAGAAAAGTGCATCAGGATTCCCCGGAACTAGAGTTATGGATGGTTGTTAGCTGCCATGTGGGTGCTGGGTACCAGACCCTGGTCTTCTGTAAGAGAGCTAGTGCTCTTAACTGCTGAGCCATTTATCCAGCTCCCGTTGTATACATCTGTGGGGTTTTCTGTTTTGTTTCAGGGGGATTTGGGAGGAGCAGTAGTACTGGGGATGGAACCTAGGGCCTTGCACATGTTAGGCAAGCAGTGTAGCCTGAGCTATACAACCACAGTCCACATGGCATATATTATATATACAACTGTATTCTTTCCTTGTAGCCTGCATTCTGTCCTGGAATCCTCACTCCCCCTAGGTTATGCATACCTTAAGATTCTCCATGGGGTTAAAGGTGTAGCTTTGTGATGTTGTGTAGTTAGCATATACAAGGGATTGGGTTTGAAAAAAAAAATGCTAATTGTTCAATTCTCATATCTATATTCCATCCTATGATAGTGGATTTCCTAGTCCCTTGTACCAGGTACCAAGCTGGGGTTTTGAATGAGCCTTCTCCCCCAATAAAGATGGGAATAATGGATTTCAAAGCACCATGGAGAGAGCCCCTTTCTTTCCTCAAGTTTCTCCATCAGTTACACACCTAATGTATATCTCTTAAGGGTGTGTGTGTCTGTGTGTGTGTGCGTGTATGTGTAAAGATTAATATCCTGGTCTGGAGACGTGGCTCACTGGTTAAGAGTACTGACTGCTCTTGCAGAGGACCTGGATTCAATTCCCAGCACCCACATGGTGGCTAACAACCATCTGTAACTCCGGTTCCAGAGTATCCAACACCCTCTTCTGACCTCTTTGGGCACTGCATGACACAGGTATACCTACCTACATGCAGGCAATATACTCATACACATAAAATAAAAATAATACATAAAATATTAAAAATAGATTCGTATCTCTATATTAAACATGTGGCAGGATAGTATAACCATGTCAGCTGCATTTAAAAATCCCTTGGGGCATTAAAGTATAGTTGAATGGCATAAAAACATATTTTGTTAATTTCTACACTTAATAACTATAAAGAAATGGGCCTGGCTTATTATTTATAATAAAATACTTTAGATACAGTAAAATATTATTGCCATTATGTAATGAATTTAATCTGCGATAACTATGTACTAGCTAGTTCAAAACGCTAGATGAATGGTAAGGAGGCATTAGATTATTAAGACCGCACACATCATTACTTTTCTTCTGAGCTTTGAGAACACAAGACATTGTACTCCAGTTAAATTTAAAGCCTATAGCCCTCTAGTTAAGTTTCTTCTTCCCTACCATCCTCACTGATTAAAGAAAAATCACACTGCATGACTGACACCAAATTCACATGTGCGTGGTGGGGATTAAACAGAGGATGTCTGTACAGCACTAGGAGAGTCAGAGCCTGCCGAGTAAAGAACTTATTACAGGGTTGGCTGATTCCATATTTGGGAGAGTGAAAGCAACTCCTTTGAAGTCTGTCTGCTACGGGTCTGGTCTTGTAATTAGAAAACATCAAGAGACAGTGAAGACGGGGCTGGAGGCTCTTGAGGATGGGAGGGGTGAAAGGCTCCGGTATTCTAGAGAAATGTACACTGGGAAGAAGGTGGGGAAGCCCTCTGCTGGCCCTCCTTCCAGTGCTCCACTGGGGTACCTCACCCTAGGTGGCAGAGTATAGCAGACTTGAGCTTGAACCCAAGTCCTAGCTAGGTGACCTGGATCACATCATTCCACTTCTATAAACCTCATTACCCCTTAGCCAGGACTAAGTCATGGACTCATTCAGTAGGTATTTAATGGAATACTTACTATACATCAGCTATTTGGGGTATAAAAAGGTACAGATGTCAGGGAAAAGGTGGTTCCTGCCCGTCGCCCAACTGTACAAATAAAATACAAATTATGGCACATTTTTGGAGAAGAAGCTAAGACAGAAAGTTATGTCAGAGAAACACATTTCAACCAACATCTGAATAAGAGGGAGTGTGGCAAAACGTAAGGGAGAGAAGTTTTCCAGTAGAAGAAACAGCTGCGGTGACCTACGAGGGCAAGCTTGATACATGAAGAAGGCAGACAAAGGCCATTGCATCAGTTTGATGGTGAAAAGTTGAGCATCACAGCATTATCTTGCAGAACTGCTGTGTATATGAAGGCATCAGGCTCTCAGCTCTCAGTGAGTGTTCAAATACATTTTCATCTCTCTGAGCCTTCTTCCTATGATAGTCTTTGCTACTCACCCTACACCATGAGAGAAGCTGAGACTGGAGAGGAAACTTTGCTTCCCTCAACTCAGGCAGCAGAAGAGTTGAGGTGAGGGTCCTGGTGTCTAGACTCTTAAGACAGCGTTTCACTTAGGTCCAAGTTTGAGGAAGAGCAATGCGTTTGCCATGCGAGTGAAGCTGATAGTCACGTGGTTCAGTCTTCTTTGCCCGGAAATGAATCATGAGGACTTTGATGACTGGAGGGTCTATGTAACTCCTAAGTCTCTCACAGACTCATACCTGAAAGCTTACCACCAAAGAACAGGCGCTTTATCCCTTCTCTTCCTGCCCTTATCCCTTCCTTCCTCGTTTAGGGATGGAATGAAGGATGGGATGGATAAAGGAATTTAGGAGAAGGACCTTGGAGGTCATCAGTAGGAGACAGGGCCTTCCTCAGCTTGATACCTGATGCTGAGAATCTATTAATATTAGCAAGGGGAAGGTTTGCTTGCCTTGCAGATGCTCTTATGAAACAAATGACATTTCATAATACAGACAATATCCTTCTCTGGGAGATGGACTAACTTTTGTATACCTAAGAAGGAATGAAAACTGGGAATGGGTCCTGGATGGTAAAGGAGAAAGCAAATCCTGAGGAGATGGGGGCAGGGAGTGAAAAGAGGTACACTGGCATACCTTTCTAGACAACTGAAGGTATGACTTGGGACAAAAGTCCATTTACCCATCTAAGCAGAATGATAAAACTCCATGTTCCTGTCGTCCTTCAACCTCCAGTTCTCAGAGCAGAAATCTAATTCACCAGCACATTCCACAACAATCAGTGTCATGAC